CTGCCTGCTCCGGTCCCAATATCCATTTTCCCCACTGACTCCATAAAATGTGACCTCCTCCGCTGACACCTCAGCAGCCCCTCTGCATACCCCCCATTCCAAAACACTGCTGTTTTGACGGGGAAAATTTAAGCTGTCCTCAAGTGCTCTTTTCTGATCATTTTTACCTTCGCCCCCTCTGATTTCCCAATTCTGTTTTTTTGTTGGTTTGGGGTTTGTTTGCTTGTTTTCCCACAAGTTATTCTTAAAACTCCTCTTACTCTGCCATATATGGGCTCACTTCCACCACTTCACAGTTTATATGTTTTTCTATTTTCCTCTTTTAGACATCACTTCCACATTCTGAAGAAGATCCTTTCACCTCCAGTGTTATCCTCCAGTTTGCTGTGATTTTGTGGACGTGATGTCCGCCCCTGAATAAGGTAAGGTTTGAAGTGAAAGGAAGTAATTATCAGACCTAATTAATAAAGCTTCATAAACTTCTGGAGCTCACCAGCCCTTCCTCCTTCCCACCTGGAGACGGCACTGAGCTGCAGCACAGCTGCTCCCATGGAGCTGGTCTGGGACTACATCAAGAGATCCTCCTCTCGTGGGCTCTCTGAAGAGCTGCAATTATTCACAGTCACTAAAACTGTAATTTCTGAATAACGCCCCTTTGTGACATTTATTCGGTTTCGATGGAGGCAAGTACCATCTGCAATTATAGCAGTGTTTTCTGCCCTCACAGCCTGTTTAATCTCCCTTAACATTTGGCAATCAGTGCCACGACTCGGGTCAGAGGGGTAACAGAGATCAAACGCCGCTCCCTCATCCACAAGCACTGAAATTCGGAGAGAGGCTGAGAGCACAGTGTGATGCTCGTGTCCTCCCTCACCTCCACGCTGTTCAGCTCCAGCGCCTGCACCCTGGCACAAATCACCTCCCATCCGACACAGACCCACGACAGCAATATAAAATCCTGGTATTGATGCATCTCTGCAAGCCCCGAAGAGCCACATCCCTGCTGCGAGTGCCAGGTCCTGCACACGTCAGCCTGTTATCACAGGAGGCCCCATCTTTCCCCCCTTATCTCACTGCTGAACTTTTGCCTTCGAGGATCTCCCTGTTGCACGCAGCAGGGAATGGGCAGCCGTGTTTCACCCCTGCGTTCCAGCAAGATGAGAGCTCACTTTTTAGTCTTTTTAGTAAAATCTGATTTTCCCCAAGATGGGAACTTTGTGCCTGCTCCCAGCCAGGCTCACACACAAGCACCCACCTCTCAGCCCAGCGTGGCGTGGCCGGGCTGTGGGTGCATGTTAGGGCAGGAGCAGTGGACTCAAACTCATTTATCACCGCTGCGGCTGTGCTCACACAAAAGCAGAAAGCAGAGGACTCAGTATTTACCCAGCTTCTCCAGCAGGTTTTGCAGTTACACCGGTGTCCACCCTTCTTTACATCTGCTGCAGGTATGTGTACACAAACAACGAGTGCAGGCAGATCCTTCAGCACAGCAGACCCCTGCTCCCAGCCATAGCAGATAGCCCCTCAGTAACATCCCCAGGGCACTGCTGTACCTGCATCACCCCAAGTCCTTCTCCAGAGTGCTCTCAGGACATGGGTGGCACTGGAGCTGTGCCACTCCAAGCCATGTCCCCACGGCTGGCTTCTCTTAGCCCTGTCCCCAAGGCATCTCCCTCTAGCACCCCCTCCTTGAGCTCGGATCAACCTATCTGGAATTACAGCAGGGATTGGGAGCAACTGGGAGAAGCAGAGTCCCTGCAACCTCAACTACTACGTGGATAACTGAACTGGGCACCAGTGTATCAGTCTACTCCCAACTGCCCCAGCGATGCAGCATTCACCTCGTCAAAAATTAACCCAGGGAATGGAGCCCTGGGGGAAGGTAGAGCACACAGAGAGGTATCACAGATCCAAAATCAAGGTCTCCACTCCACACCTCAGTGCAGTTTTACAATATTTGTTTCCTGCCTGGTCTCAGCACCAGATAAATCAAAGGCTGAGCTAATTGGCACTGCTCCTCTGCCTCTGGGGCTGGAGGAGGTGGTGGAAGAGCTCTGCAATGGGTCACTCCAGGGCCACATGGGCACGAGAGGGGAGACTGCACTTGAACACTGCAATATGCTATAGCACACACACAGAACACAGCATACCCCATCTCAAGCACGTGTACGCAGCTCAATAAGTGCATCATGTGTCTTATATACATTACACTCCATGACAACTATGCACGAACAAGCAGCTCCTGCCTCCAGCTTGCAGCAGCAATAGGACCCCTGCCCGCCCCACACCCCATGCTTTGGAGCCCACAGCCCCATGCTCTCACAGATAGGAGGGCCATCTCATTTCTCCTTCCACATTTTTTGGCATGGAGCTGGCTTTCCTCCAGCCCTCGGGAAACTTGCCAGCACTGCAAGGTTTACGAAAAGTTAACTCCAAAGAGGGGGTGAAGAGTGCCTTCATTTTTTTTCTCCTGGCGTGTGATTTTAAAACACACTGCTCCCATCCTCATCTTTCTTCCCCCCCCCAAATACCTTGGAAGCATCCCTGCTCCAGACACGCCATGCCACGCAAGCAGCACATGCAAGCAGCAGCACAAAGAGGGCCGTCAGCGATAGCAGCACTGTTACCAATGGTGTGGTGTGGGATCCAGACCCTTCCAGCACTCCTTTGTTCTTGAATTTCTTTCTTAAAGAAAAAAAACACACACACACAAAAACTTCCCTTCCATAAGCCTGAACTTTCCCAGCCGCAGATAGATACCTTGCAACAGCCTGAACAACTGCATGCAACTCTTACCCTCTGCTTTATGTACGTTGTCATCCACCTCCCTGTTTTCCATATTGATTTATGTCTCACGTTCTTTTCACATTTCCTTTCAGCAGAGACGTTTTTACCCCAACAGCCGCTCCTCCCGAGCCCAGGACACGCATTCAGCCGGCCACAGAGTAATCAACTTCCAATTTCCATGCACACTCCTGTTTATATTTCCTTCCCTATCGGCTTTGTTTCTAATTAAGGTTTGCTAAATGCACGAGAATCTATAGTGCACAAAGAAATATAAAGCATGTAGATAAATAAACACCGTGCACACACGCGCACTGACTAAGGCTGCCTTCTCACTGTGCTTTCAACCACGGATCCCAAAGCACTTTGTCATGTTCATTAACAAAACCTCGCAGCTCCCTTGGGAGGGACGCTTGTATTATTTTACGCCTTGTAATTAGGCAAACTGAGGCACAGAGGAGACAAGTGAAATTACCAGCATTACGGCAAAGCTCTGGAGCAGAGCTGAAAACAGGGCTCAGGAGGAACGTTCCCTGGGCAAATCACCAGATTGGAGCTGGATGAGCTCTACTCTCCCCACGTTGGCCATGGACGTGGTGGGGAATGTGCCAGAGACAGCGACAGTGACACCGCAGGAGGTGGCTGAGCTGCCATGCCCTCGGTCATCACCCTTTGTTGGAGTCACTGCCACACCAACGGGGCGCATCGGGAGAAGCAGATGGACGCTGTGCCTGAAATGGCAGCTCCCAAAGGGAAGGATGGAGCAGAGGGGCACCCAGAGAGCTCTCAGCCCACGCTCTCCTGCCACGTTGTCTCTGCAGAAGGAGAGGATGGCCGGGGCACGGCTCGCACAGCCCCAAGATGTGCATAACACCACAGAAGGACGCAGCATAACGAACCTCCTGTGAGGAACTCCAACCCCAGATGGGGACGGCCACCAGACCTTCAGCTCTCACCCCACAGCATCCCCACCGCTGGGAGCACATCTCACATCCAGCACCTCGGTGACCTCCCCCATCCACAGCCATCCCTTCCCCATCCCTCAGAACAAGCATCTGCACACCCAGCCCTGCAGCCACGGTGATGGGAAGGTCAATCTGTTCCTCTTGTTTCCAAGCAAAGGACTGCCCCACACCACCCAGCACCTCCTGATGGGCTCCCACATCCCCACAGGAGGCTTCCAGCTCCCATCCCAGGATGGGTCCCCCCCATCCCCAGTGTAGCCGAGGGCTCTGAGCATGAACACAGCTGTGAATGTGGCTGCTGCGGGCAGCGTAGGCCACACGTCCCACTTGGACATGTGCTCCCACAAACACACTCATCACCCCCCATCCCCCCCAACCCCTAATTAAAACCATACCATGCTCATTTGAATAGCATAGCTGGCTAGCGCACTCCGCTGCAACGTAAATAGTCCTATTTATGCCAAGCTCCCATATTGTAAATATCACGATGTATAGCCGGCCAACCCATGAGTCATCTCCCAAAACTCCAACTTAATAAATGGTGCCTCATCCACTGCTCCAGACAAACACCGTCCGGACGTCTCCCACCACCTCCACACCCAACGCAGCAGCAAAGCTCAGCCCACGGAGCCCCCCAACTTCCACAGCACCGCAGGCATGGCTGGGATGTGATGCGCCGGGACCCCAAAATGAGAACCTGGCACGGGGCTCCCAGCCACGCAGCCAGCCCTTAATGGGAATCCAGCCCTCGGCCGCACACCCATCCCTCAGCCACGCACCCACCTGCCGCTGCCTCTGCTTTGTCTCAGCCCTGGGGGAACCCTACGGGGAAGAGGTTGGAGGATGCGTTTGGCCTCGCTCAGGGAGACCCCAAAGCCTCTTCCCAGCATCCCCGGGAGAGGAGCTCGGCGGTTCCCTACGGGAGGCGAGGTGGGAGATGCCCACTTCGGTACGGGGATGGCGGAGGGAAGGGAAGGGCCGGGGTTGGGGGGAAAAGCTCCACCTGGGGCAGCACTTCCCCAAAACTTCGCCTTCCCTCCTTCTTTCCCCCGCTCCCCCCCCACACCCCACACCCCCAGGAAGGGGTGCGGCGTGGAGGGAGGGGGAGGGCCGAGGGCCACCCCTCGATTAATTAAATAAATAATAATAAACGAGAGAAAGAAAAGAAGGAGATTAAAAAAAAAAATTATCAAAATAATAACGATCATCATAATAAAGAGGGGTTCTGCCCCGGAAAGGCCCCTTCCTTACCTTCCACGGCGGCGAGCAGAGGCAAGAGGGCGAGGGGCAAACAGCAGAACCACAACGGCCCCATGGTGCGCTCCGGGCCGGGCATCAGAAACGGCGGCGGAGCTCCATGGAGGCGGCGGAGCGCAGAGCCGAGCCCCCTCGCTGGGGCTGGGGCCGCCGCCGGCGCGGGCACGGCCGCGGGCACGGAGCGCACCGCCGGCCCCGCCGCCCCGACCGGGCCGAGCCACCGCCGCCGCCGCGCGGGGGAGCGCCCCGCGCCGCCCTCCCCGCCCCGGGGGCGCCGCGCTGCCGGAGGGGGCGGCGGGCGGAGGGCGGAGGAGCGGGGAGCGGCGGCGGCGCGGGGGGCGGTGGGGAGCGGCGGAGGTGCGGGGCCGGCGGAGGGGGGCGAGGAGGGAGGCGGCTCCCCCTGCGCCGAACGATGGTTTCTCCCGGAGCTGTCGATCATCCAGAGAAAGCCGTGATTTCAGCCCAAATCTTCCTCTCGGGGTTGAGTGAGCGCTGCGAAAGCCGGAGGGGGGGTGGAGAAAAGAGGGGGGAGCTCCCGGAGGGCCGGAGGGATGCCCCCGCCTCCGCCCTTCCCACCGCCCCGCTGCTCCGTCGGGGGCGGCACGGACCCGTCGGCCTCCGCCCCGCTGCGGTTGGGCTCCTGCGAGCTCAGCGCCGTCCCGAGCTTGGGGTGCTCGGCATCACCCCCGGCCGGGGCTGTGCCTGCCCGATCCTCGCCCCAAAGCGTCCGCGGGCCCAGAAAACGCGGCTGGTATGGAGCGTCCCTTGGGGGGCACAAAGAGGTCCGGCCGATGCCCGCAGAGGGACGACAAGAGTTGGTGGTCGGAGGCTCAGCTCGGCTCTGAACCACGGACCCTCTGGGGTTACCGACCCAGGTGAGCCGGGAGCAGGAATTCCTTCATTTCCAGTTTACAGGAATTACTTACAACTCCCCTTCGGACAAGATGGGGTCAAGTGGAATTCTCCACTCTGAGACCCAGCTCCTTCTCTCCATCGCAACACCCAATACCTGTAGTTCCTCATGAGCCCAGGATCCCAGTCTACCCACCAAAAGGCACGGAAGGCACAGGCTTGTCTCACCATGCTCTTCCTCATCACCCTGCTGCACCAGCAACTTGCACATCTGGAGTGCCCTGACCCCATGCAAGTAAACTCATTTTGATTTGGGGGAAGGTGAAGGCGCCCTGGCAACGTTGGCCAAAACCAGATGACTTTCCTCAACTCGTTGTGGCCAACTGTAGGCTCTGATCCCCTCTGGGAGCTCCTATAGCTCCAGAGTATCCCCAAAGCTGTCGCTGCTGCTGAGTAGAACACACAGATTTACTGTCTGACTGCAGCAGTGATTCTGAAGCTCATATGTTCTCCTTTGGAGATGGGTTTGTCCCTGAAGATGCTATTCAGAGGCACCTGTGAACTGTGAGCACTGCTCCCTCCTCGTGTCCTCGTTCTGCCCCTAGGAAGGGCTTTAGATGGATCAGTGTCCAACCAGCCCTCAGTCCCTGTCCTGCATCCCACAGGGGCTCAGCAGTCCAGACTGGACAAGTGAAAGCCACCCAATACCATCCCATGGTGTTGTCAGACTTCCCATGATGCTCTTTTATCCCACCCCAAACCTATTTTAGTGCCTCCATAAGGGACAGTCACCAACCACAGGAGCTGATGCTCTCCTTGCTGCCATCAGGTGTCACTTGGAACTGAGGAGAACTTAGGAGCGAGGTCCGTTGGTTCTACCCTGATTGCTGCATCCATGGGACACTGAAATGCTGCTGCAGAGAGAAAGTCATGCCTGGGAAAAGCAGCAGCACCAGGGTTACAGAAATGGGGCAGCCACCACTTCAATTGCACGTGTTAGCTTCCTATCAAAAGATGGTTCCCAGGCAGACAAGAGCCACAAGAGATGGCATCTAGAGGACATTAAAGCGGGTTTGATGGTGACTCATTGCATGCAGCATTTACAGTTCCCGGTGCAGGAAGAACAGGTTGTATTTGCACATGAAGCCTTTGGCTCATCGCACCTGGAGGAGGTGGCTCTGTGTCAGTCTGCAGGGTTAAAGAGGTGCAGCAGGAGGGAGGGAGACGCAGAGGGGAGGGCTGAGGCCACTTCCTCCCCACTGGGCAGGATGAGCATCGCCAGCACCACCTACACACTGTAATTTGGGCTGGATCTCCAGGATCCGGAGCTGCTTCAACCAAAATACTCATAGGATCGTTAAGGTTGGAAAAAACCTCAGGATGGTGTAACCATCAGCCCATCCCTACCCTGTTCACCAAGCTGTGTCCCTAAGAGAGAACGGGACATTAAATTGGGATGGGGAACGGGTTACCCCGGTGACACCTAGAGCCATAAATCTGCCTGCAGGCACCTGATGAGCGCTGGCAGAGAGATGCCCCGTGGGGAACCGGCACCTCGCTGACGTCCCTGTGTGCAGCAGGAAAGCTCTCAGCTCCTGGCTGAATCCCTCGGGCTCCGTGCAGCTTCCAGGGGCAGGTTGGGAGGAGGGAAATGCCAGCATATTTGTACAGAAATTGGAGTCTCCCTGCAAGCAGCAAATCCCATAAAAGCAAAACCCAAGTGAAAAGCAGCTTCAGCTGTTCTGGCTCTGGCTGTGATGGGCTTGGCCCCAGGCCAGTGAGTTAATTCTGCCTATTAACTAATAGTATAGTATTGTCGGCAAAGGCTCATTGCTAAACTTATGTTTTTAAGATATCACTTATCATTCAAACACTTAACTCTTGATCCTCGAACATGTACAGGCACCATGTAGCCCTGCAGCCATGCTGCAGACAACCAAAGGCACCGCTGGCTGGGGGGGGCAGGCTGTGTTTAACCCTTTTTCCCCTATCTGAATGATAAATGGTCTGAAGCAGCGCTGCCCAAAGGCGAGCAGCCACTGCTTTGCACCTGCTTTGTGTTCCCAATCAGGGATGCAGGAGCTGTTCCTAATAGCACTCAGTGAAGGGTGCACGACAACAGAGAGTCGATCTGTGTGATCACAGCCTGATCCCAAGAATGGACCCCTCTGTCTTAGAATCGCATAATCATTAAAATTGGAAAAGACCACTAAGATCGTCCAGTCCAACCCCAACCCATGCCCACTGTCCTCCCTTGCCTCCCCTTTCCCTCTCCCCACCACCCCAAATGCTCTGCAGCCTGGCACAGAACCCAGCCCTGTCCTTTGGGATGAAGGCTGTGAGCAGCAAGGATGCCCCAGGCTACCAGGGCTGCCCTGGCCCCATCCCCTGACCTGTATGGTAAGGGTACATTAGGCAGGGTGCTCTCTTCCAGCCCTGCTCCCAGAGTACATTTAGGGTATCAGGGGGGCTCCAGCCCCATCCAAGCAGAGCACTGCGTCCCCACCCCATTGGGGGCTTCTGGCAGAGCTCAAGCAAGATAAGGCTGTGAGTGTACTCTGCACAGATAGCTGGCGCTGGGTGCCTTGTGCTGAAATGTGACACTGGAAGCTGTTCTTGCTCAACCCGTTTGGCTTGTTGTGGGGTCCTAACGGAGGAAGCAGCTCCCTTCAGCGCTCCTCCAGCATTTCTGAGCTCTGCTGTTAAATGATACACGCTGTGAGCTTTGATGCTACCTGGGACCAGAAACGAAGCTGATGAGGAGAAGCAGAAAGGAGGAAGGCAAGAGGATGGCATGGGTGATCCGAGCATCATTCTGCACTGGGACCCCAGGATGCACAGAGCCGTGGGATTTCATCTCTGCAGAGGGAAAATTGTGGCTGCAGAGAGCAATTTGCAAAAGGTACCTTGGTTTCTGTTGCTGTTGCCTTAGATTTTAGAGCCTTCGGCTAATTTAGGAAGCAGAAGTCAACTGGTAGATTGTGATAAAGATTTGAAGAGGGTTGCACGCCTAAAATGAATGGAACTTCTGAATGGTATCCATGGGAACAAATTAAATAGAAGAGGCACTTTTGAAGCATTTAAAACAGATTTAGAAAGCTGGAATCGGGCAGGAAACTTCGGGTATTTTGCTCAACAGCTAATTTGACACCAAATTACAATGACAGGCAGAGCCAAGTCAACTTTATACGAGATCCTGCAGAAATTACCTGATTGTGGCTGCATGCTTGCTGTTGACAAAGGAACATTTGGAAAGATAAAGGTTGTAAAGTCATCTCCTTCAGGGCTGCAAATATGTCAAACCTTCCCCTCCAAAAAAGTTTATATAAAGGAGGATCTTACAAAGGCATCTTGTTAGAGATGTGTAAAAGAGAGGGATGTAACCCTTGCTGTCTTGTGGCAGGACATCCACTGTCCAGAAGTCTTCTGGAAAATAGTTTTAAAGTTGCTCCAAGGAAGGCAGAAGAGCTGAAAAGTCAAACTCAGGTCTCTGGTTAATACTGTGAAATTACAGGGTGGCATCCTCGAAATTGAAAATGCTGAAATGGCATTTAATGGGAAACTGGGGAGAAAACGACCTGTTTTTTGTCACTGCTGGTGTTAAAAGCAGGAGTTTTGCAAATGCTTATGAGCACTATGAAAAAATGTAATAGTGAGTGTTATGTTCAGGGCACTCATGAGCAAAACCCTGGGATAGCGTAGGTTGACGAGAAAGCAAACATAGGATCAAAGACAACGGCGTGCTGTAAAATGGATCTTTTCTGCTAAGAGGTGATTACTGTGAGAGGGCAGGAGCTGAAGGAGGAACCACATCTTCTTTCACGACGGAGGATGAAAAGGAAACAGCATGTCTGGGTTGTTCTGAAGAGGAGCACGCGAAGGGAGATGCGAGGAACATGGAGCAAGGTGCGCGGCAGGCAGACAAAAGCCCTCCAAGGTCTGCAGACAAAAGGTCAGGAGTGAGCAGGAGCAATGCCACATGCTGTACAGCAGGCATATCTCATTGTCTCTTTGGCTGTGGGAATTTCCACTCTTTTTTTGGCTAAAATGTGACTGAGCTGGAGCAAGCCATCATAGAATCAAGGCACGGTTTGGATTGGAAGGGACCTTAAAGTTCTGACCCCTTGCTATGGGCTGGGTGCTCCCCACTAGATCAGGCTGCCCAGGGCTACATCCATTGCCTTGGGCACCTCCAGGGATGAGGCACGCACAGCTGGTTTGTGACAAAGTCCTCATCCAGCAGAACATCCAACCAAGTCCTTCTCTGCAGCGCTGCTCTCAGTGAGTTCTCCCACTCTGTACCCATACCTGGGATTGCCTCGACC